AAAAAAGAGAGAGAGGCCCCATGAAATATAGAAAGAAATGGGGGAGAAAATATAAGAGAGAGAGAGAGAGAGAGAGAGAGAGAGAGAGAGAGATTATTAACCTCCATGCCCTGAATGCGATGCTACTGTTTGGGTCTAAATGGTGCATTTGGAAGACATGATAAATCACCTTCATCTGAGTGTGATTCTTATTTTTTATTAACGGATTCCCATTTACAATGCCAAAAGATGTGAAGACTGCCACTAGTCCACTATTGTGGTAATTTGTGTTTCTTGTTTTTTTCCCCTCATGATAAGCTGGGTACAGAATGGGCTTTGGAGGGTATAATCTGTGAGTTCCTGCCTTACAATCTATAAGAATCTCTTAATCAGGAGAATGGTGATGTTAGAGAGAGAGAGAGAGAGAGAGAGTATTATTTGAATTTTCTAGTTTTTATTTTATATTGATTTTTAATGTACAAAATGACCATTTTGCCCTCATATTTAATTGCAAATTGGATGAAATGTTGCGGATTTAGACAGTAGGGGGAATTTGGCAAAAAAAAAAAGAAGAAGAAGAGATTCATATCCTTAATTTTCTTTTTTAAAAAAAGGATATGGGGTAAATCGAAAGTTAAGTACAAGTTCATGAGGGCAAATCACTAGTTAAATTAAATTAAATCAACAACATTTTATAATTCTTGTTTTCTTTTTATCATATGAATTTTTTTTTTATTCGTGTTTGAAGGTCAACCTAACCCTAACCATCTTTTACAATTTGGATTCGGATTCAAATTCGGATAATTCCACTTTGAATGTTTTCTCCAAGTCTTTTATTTTTTAGATAATTTAGGTTAAACTCAATAAAATCTTTAGTAATTAGGATATGATAAAGGGATCTTTTACTTTTTGTCTTGGTCAAATGAATTTATAATTGTTGGTTATAGGTCAATGTGTAAGCTCATACTATAGGCCAACTAGTGAAGTGGACTGAAGTAATTGTTCATCAGGTAAGGTCATGGTTTCGAGTCCTAGCATTCATGTAGTGTGTTTGAATTTAGTATATTATCAGACATCTCAACAGAAGAGATCCTTTAAAAAAAAGGGTAATTTTCACTTTACTACAGTAAAATTTACAGACTTTTAGAGTTCAATACATCAAATTTTTTTTTTGTCTCAGTCGCATACATAATATTTATTTTCACACCAATCTAATACGTCCGTCAGTGCTTCCGTCAATCCCTCTGTTAAACCGCTGATGTGACGGTACTGTGACCCACCATATCTTCTCAATAACCTAAATGGGCCCAGACTAAATAAATAGAACAACATTATTAATTAAATAAATATGAAAAAGAAAAGTTAAATAAAATATACGCTTATTTACTAGGGAGTTTCACTAAAACACCCAAAATGGGGGTTGAAATTATAAAAAAACCCAAGCACTATTTAAATATATAAACACACCCAAAACTCATCATTACATACACTCAAAACCCATTTATAAACACACCCAAAAAGTTGACTTTGGAGTTGATTTTGGGTGTGTTTCTATGTTTAAATAGTGCTTGGGTTTTTTTATAAATACATGTCTAGAATTGGGTTTATTTCTAAATTTGTATATTTACTATAGTGCCTCTTGAAACTGCAGTCAAATCTTACTTTACCTCCCCAAAGTTAAAGTGGCCCGTTTTCATCCATTGACCGAGGTTTGGTGACCCACTTTGCCCCCTGCCGTCAACTCTATACGAAATTTTGCTAAATTTGATGACGTGGCAAGGGTGTTTTTGTAATTTTATACACATGAATCATTAAACTAATTGAGTGGGTGAGGTGGATACCACATGGATTTAAAACTTAATTAAAAATTATTCATTGTTTAAATTAATTAAAAAATTTAAAATCAAAATATATAAAATAATAAAATAACAAAAAAAATTAGAAAAAGTAACCAAAAAAAACCGAGGCCATCTCATCCTCCCGACCCCATTCTAATTCCCCCTTCCCTATCTCATCCTTCAGGCTATCTCTCTCTCTCTCTCTCTCTCTCTCTCTCTCTCTCCCCGTTTCGCACACAGAAGACAATGTCGTACGCAAACCCAGTTTGCCGAAACAAATTCAAACAAGTTCGCTGGCGGCCATGGGGTTGTTAGGTGGTGCAGTGGGTATCGTTGATGGTGATGGGTGGGGATGGGAGAAACGCAGTGGGTATTTGATTTTAAATTAAAATATCGACTTGGGTTGGGGGGTTTGAAGAAACAAAGAAAGAGACATGGAGAGAGAGGAAAAGATAGGGGGTGGCTTGGGAACTGATCTCTACTGTAATTTTGTTTTGCTTTTGCTTTGCTTCTCCTTGGCAGAGAGATTTGAGATCAAATGATGATGGAGGGATGGGTTGGCGAGGATTGTGGTGACTGGGGGAGTGATTGGGTGTTGGGTAGAGTTTTTAATTATTAGAATATATATGTATATTTTTTAATTTTGTTATTTTTAATTATAAGAATATTTAATTATATGTTTATCTATGTGGAGGTGGGCTCAACTTGCCATGTCACCTACTCAATTGTGTAATGATTCATGTGTATAAAATTACAAAAACACTCATGCCACATCATCAAATTTAACAGAGTTTTGGATGGAGTTAACGATAGGGGGCAAAGTGGATCACCAAACCTCGGTTAAGGGATGAAAGTAGGTCACTTTAACTTTAGGGGGGTGGGGGGTTTAAAGTGAGATTTGACCGAAATTTCAGGGGGCATTACAATAAAGAAGCCTAAAATAAATAAAAATCCATCTCCAACTCATCTTCTTCCCCAAGCTCAACACCCCACCATATTCTTAACGCCACCAACCCTTACCCTACCCGCTCATGACCGCCACTCATTTCTACCCTATCATCGATGCTGCCCACACACTCCCTCTCCTTACCGCCCATCCCCTCGTCTTTCTCTCTTCCCTATGTGAAGAAAGGCAGAGCTATAGCAGCCATTCTCAAGCCTCCCTTCTAATCTTAACCACAAATCCATTATTATCAAAATATTGAAAACTCATTAACTGATCAGATCCCAAGTTGAACATTACCAACAAACCCATTACTACCATGCTTACTTGATCACAATTTCTCACACCTCGCAACAATGGCTGCTCCTAGTCTTCTCGGTCCTCCAGAGCTCAGGAAACCTACCCATACCTCACTCCTCCAATCTCAACCCGTACCGGATCCCAACCCAAGACCGTTACCGGCGACCCCTTTGTCGACCTCATTGTCTCAAATTTCAATGACATAGCGATGGCCAACAAACTCCTGATGGGCTTGACCGAGAATAATTCCACCACCTTCTCTCCACCAGCAACCCCTGCCTCAATTTCTTCTTTCACTTGGTGCCCAACACCCTGGCCGACTATGTCAACAAGCAATTCTCCCTGGCTTGGGCCCACAGCATGCCGACCACACTCAAGCTCATCTGCAACCTCCGTGGTGTACGTGGCAGTAGCAAGTCCGAAAAGGAACACTACCACGCTTAAGGAGGATTTTAGGTATTTCAAGGACCTGCCTGGATTTTGGGTATGTTGAAATGCCCTCAAGTTATCGAGATCTGTAAGGTCATGAAAAATTGAAACCATGTTGATCACCATCTTGGTTTAGGGAGGTAAAGAGATGAGGGAGAGATGAGGGAGAATGTGTAGTCGGATAAGAGCATCTACAGTGGGGGAGTATTTTCAAGGCTTGTAAAGCCATTTTTACATCCCTTTTACACCTCCGGGGGTTGTAAATGTGGGTTTTGCTCCATTGGGGAAGATGTAATTCTAAAGATGTATAATTGATTTTTTTGTCTTAATTCGTTTTTGTGTTAAATTTTTATTTTGTGTTAACTTTATAAAATTAATTTTGTATGTGTTAGGTTGATTTTTATTTTTTTCAAACAAATAGACCTAAAAATATTTAAATTTGGAGAAGATATAATTTTATCCAAAAAGAATCGTTGGATTGTAAAATACATTTAATATGATCCTTTGGTATTTTATTACGTTTTTGCAAACAGTTCAACATCCATTATTGTTTCTGATTTGCACACAATTCAAGATACAACATGATATGGTTGAGGTATAAAAATAAAAAGCAAAGATATTTTAATGTTATTTTAATTAAACTATTTACTCTCTTTTTTCTTTTCTAGTCCACATGTCACAATATGTGTTTATGTGGATTCATTGATTACCACATCAACGTTTTAACGGAGGCATTGATGGACATATTAAATTGGTATGAAAATAAATATTATGTATGCGACTGAGATGAAAAAAAAAAATTTGATGTATCGAACTCCAAAAGTCAGTACACTTTTACCGTAGTAAAGTGAAAATTACTCAAAAAAAATTATGGGACTAACATTTACGTGTATGCCAACTTTAGTTTAGGTAGGCACCACCGCCTGTCCACCAACCATCATGCTAAATCATCTTCATTTAAACTAATATC